TTCTAATTGTTATACTTTGCCCATAGTACCATAAAACAGACGAGCCTCCTACGGCTTTCTCAAGCTCTGAACCTCCTTTTCAAAGCAAATGGTTAACTATTAAATATATTCAATATTTCACACCGCTAGGCTCGTTCAACCGACGGACCACTCACACGTTAATGACAAATTATTATATTATTTTTATGTGAGAGACAGATGGAGAGAGATAGGTAGTCACAAAAAAAAGACAAAGACAGACAGAGACAGAATGAGAGACATGAACAGAGGCAGAAAAAGTCAAAGACTAACAGATGGACAAACAGAGTCAGACATTGTGAGAGAAGGAAAAGGGGGAGAGGGGGGGAATTATATTTTAATTGAGGGAAGTCAGATGCATAAGGGGAAGAGAGGAAAACAGGTGAGATAAGGAGATGAGGAGAGACAGAATAGAGAGATACGGAGCTTGAGGAGTAGAAGAACTCCCAGAGCCCCATCCAGGTCCAATCCAGGAGCCTTCCTACCCTCATCCTCCTGCCACCATCAACGCTCTACCTGTCCTCTCCTCTACTATTAATTCCTCTATTTCCAACCTCATTTCCATTTTATTACCTCTCATGACCCCGCCACTAGGATCCTCATTGTCCTCTCCTATACCCAAAGCTCCTATGTTCCTCCCCCACCCCACACAGATCATGCTGCAACATCACACCACACCTCTCATCAAGAGCAAAGCCGCTCTAAGAAATAACTCACTAGCAGGTAATACCTGCGTATAAATGGGAAACTCTTTGAGCATCACTTGGTCAGCAGTAAACTGCCTCCCCCCCCCTGCACGGTCTCGCTTCGTGCAGGTCGGCGTTCAATCCCCGACCGTCCAAGTAGTTGGGCACCATTCCTTCCCCACGTCCCTCCGTCCCATCCCAAATCCTTATCCTGACCCCTTCCAAGTGCTATATAGTCGTAATGGCTTGGCGCTTTCTCCTGATATTCCCCTCCCCCTCCCCCCTCCCATCTATCCCTCTCCCAGGAGTCTACAGGAACAGCCATTCCGTCTCTCACAAGGCACTCTCTCACTTCCCATTAATGAGATTAACATCCTGGATGGAATGTTACTTGAGCAATGTGATATGTTTGGTCATATCGCCCGGTATGTGAGGATGGAACTTGACTTGCCGACTGACACACTTGTAATTAACTCTCTCTTTTTTGTATACATATATATATATATATATATATATATATATATATATATATAGGTGTCCTATGAAAAACATTTACATATATAGAAAAAAATATAAACTCACTAATGAACACTCAAGCGAACTTGAGAATGAGCTTTTTGATTGATAAACAAAAATCAATTCCATTCGGATGCTTTAGTTACCACTTGGCAGTAATCTGGTTACCTGGGTAGTGGAAGCGGTGGTCCCACAGGACCAGCCACAGGAGAGGCATCACCAAACCTCTGTGAGCATGTAGGGAAGCACCAATATGATCCGGCAATGAGAAATGCTGACCACTCAAGGTATACTACTTGTCACAGGAGCTCTCAGGACACTGTTTCAGGCCAAAAGAGGCGAGTTTTCTAAAATAATATTTATATACTTCATGTAAAATGTTACTTAAATGTCATTGGGTATATGATAAGTTTCTCGTTTTTTATTTCATTTACACGTTTGCTCTTTTTGTTCATTTAATTTCTGATAAATGAGAGTTGTGGGCATAAATGGAGATCATGCTTCATGGCCATGTTAAGGCAGTCTGACGCCTCGTCGTGTCATCAATGAAATATGTATTACATCAATGCACTTCCTTCCCGGGGTTACTACTTCCTTCATGCAGACGATGAGTCACAATAACGTGGCTGAAGATATCAAAGACTAAACCACACACCAGAAGATGAGAAGACGACGACGTTTCGATTCATCCGAGACCATTATCAAGCTGATTGTGGACCATTCAACACTTGGACTATTATCAAGCCACAATCGGGGATGATAATGATCCAGGACGGACCGAAACGTCGTCTTCTCCTCATCTTCTGATGTGTTATTTAGTCTCCTTCCTTAATACCACGACCCCAAGAAGCAGCGAACTGTGCGGGGCGACGCCACACGAGGTTAGAGTTCAACACAATCCCTTCCGTCACAGTGCTTCCTTTTAAAACTTAAACAATGGATATTGTTCTATTCTTGCGTTCCTGTATTGTTGAGTCGTATCAGAAATGTTGTGTAAATCTAGAGTTCTTCTCCCGTACAGGTTTGCGAGATTACTTGATCAAATCTTCTGTTCTTGAGGCGTAATTTGCAAAACTGAATATTTTAAAAATGTTGTGGTTATTCCCCCCATCCTTTCTCTCTCTCTCTCTCTCTCTCTCTCTCTCTCTCTCTCTCTCTCTCTCTCTCTCTCTCTCTCTCTCTCTCTCTCTCTCTCTCTCTCTCTCTCTCTCTCTCTCTCTCTCTCTCTCTCTCTCTCTCTCTCTCTCTCTCTCTCTCTCTCTCTCTCTCTCTCTCTCTCTCTCTCTCTCTCTCTCTCTCTCTCTCTCCTCTCTCTCTCTCTCTCTCTCTCTCTCGCTCTCTCTCTCTCTCTCTCTCTCTCTCTCTCTCTCTCTCTCTCTCTCTCTCTCTCTCTCTCTCTCTCTCTCTCTCTCTCTCTCTCTCTCTCTCTCTCTCTCTCTCTCTCTCTCTCTCTCTCTCTCTCTCTCTCTCTCTCTCTCTCTCTCTCGCGCACACTCGCGTGCGCGCATTATTTTAAAGTAAGAAAATGTTAAATGTATATATACTTATTTACACGACATATAATTATGATAAAAAACATTTTTTGAAACTACAGATAATCATCTCTTTGTAGAATTGTTTACAGTTAAAAAGAAAACTATCCTTATGGATAAAAGAGGTGGAGTTATAATGAGGGATAAACGGGCGATTTGGTCTAAGTTCGTATCCTAGACGGGGAGGATTGACTAGGTGCCAATCCTTAAATGTACGCCTCTGTTCTCCCAGCAGTGATTTGGTACCTGGTGGTTAAACAATCGGCGGGTCGAATTCCAGGGAAAGAAGTGGATAAGACCTATTGTGACCTATGAGATGGGAGAGCTCTCAGCCTGCTAACAGGAGTCAGCGGTCATCTTATCCTGTACCCACCTGTCTTAACAAAAAAAGAAGAAATAAACAATCGGACGATTCGAACCTCGGACGCAGGTTCGAATCCTCGTCACGGCCCTTGTGGATTTGTTCAAGAAGAAATAAAGGTTCAACAAAGGTATTTTAATCGGAAGTCGACTTTTACCATTTTGTATGTCAAAGTTCACAGCAACAATACAAATGATTTAGACTTGAAACTATGCAACGACAATTTACACAAATCCAAGAGATTTTGTCTGTTCAGGATGTAAATAAGATTATTTTAAACAGCGTCGGAGTTATTACAAGTGAATGTGGTATTAACTGCTCCTGGAAGGACGGGTAGAATCGCTTCTCAGTATACATGTACTGCGAGTTTGTACTAAAGGGTACATGTACTAAAGTGTACTTCCTGGTTGGTCTTGTAGTGACCCCAATTAATGACCATCCAGAGATTTATTGGCCATAAACCCAAACCCAAGCTAAACTTGAATATGATAGAGGAAAATCATATTCATATTTATGAAAATCATACCAAACTAATAATTACAAATCCAAAGTAAGGTGGCGATAAAAATTAGATATATTGACCAAAACATTGATCATTTCACATTAAACATTAGCTTTAGAATTGAATACCAGCTTAATTAAATATTGAATTGCAGAGTAGCGACTTTGATATGATAAATTGTGATAAAGATTATTTAAATTTTCTCGAGCTCCCAAGTGTGAAATCTGATGAGGAAATATGAATCAGTTTATAAGAGCGAGCTGATATAAATGACTTGGAACAGGACTACTCTCCGAAATTTCGGAATTCGCTGAGGACATTAGAGAGAGAGAGAGAGAGACAGAGAGAGAGAGAGAGAGAGAGAGAGAGAGAGAGAGAGAGAGAGAGAGAGAGAGAGAGAGAGAGAGAGAGAGAGAGAGAGAGGAGAGAGAGAGAGAGAGAGAGAGAGAGAGAGAGAGAGAGAGAGAGAGAGAGAGAGAGAGAGAGAGAGAGAGAGAGAGAGAGAAAGAGAGATCAATGATGAGCTGATATTCTCCGACACTGTAGACTTTCCTCTGTCTAGCTTATAGAGAAGGATATCGGTATCATCCTAATTATCATCCCCCCTGATTACATCATTCACTGCTGTGTACACCTAGATCTCACTCACTGTTGGGTAAATTTGTGTTATTCACTGTTACACATGTTTCATTTAATGCTAAATGTTGCATATACACATCTCTCATTCACTGCTAAGTGCTATATGGGGACATTTACTGCATAATATTTAGCTATAAATGCGGAGAAAAATATCTTTAGCCAGGTCGGCCGAGCGGACAGCACGCTGAACTTGTGATCCTGTGGTCCCGGGTTCGATCCCAGGCGCCGGCGAGAAACAATGGGCAGAGTTTCTTTCACCCTATGCCCCTGTTACCTAGCAGTAAAATAGGTACCTGGGTGTTAGTCAGCTGTCACGGGCTGCTTCCTGGGGGTGGAGGCCTGGTCGAGGACCGGACCGCGGGGATACTAAAAGCCCCGAAATCATCTCAAGATAACCTCAAGAAGGTCTATCCTCTGACTTGGATTCGAACCAAGAGCCAGTTAAATACCGATTTCTCTTCCACACAAACACGCGTTGTTACCCAATGTTGTTTTTTTAAAGTTTGCTATTTCAGAATATGACTTATAAAAGTATTGTTATTATAAAGATTTTACTTTTGCCAAATTAAACAGCATGTTGAGAAAAGTATGTCTCCTGTACAACAAATCATTATATATTTTCTTCTCCTCAGCCATGAATTGTAACTCTGAACATTGGAGTATGTTCGTGTAACTTGCAAGTATACTTCATTTGCTGAGCAAACTTTCCTTGAGGCTTTCTAACAGATTGTTTTCTTTTGTTTCAGAAAAGCAAAGGAAGTGTAGAAACCATTTTCCATGGAGGTAGAATAGCTGGCCAGAAGACCTCTGGAAGGAATTGCTGTTCAGCGCCTCCTCAAGAAGTCCCCCGAGGCGAGCTAATATAGCTGCTGGCTGTAGTTAAGATTGTGGGATAGGCAGGTCCTGCCATGTAGGTTCGGAAATAGTGTAAACATTGGATTGCTTGAAGGCAATTTAATCAGTGAAAATATTTCTTAGTGATTAATGATTTTTTTTTTGTTGACTGGAGCACCACAGATACAAAATTGATAAGCAACATGACTTCATGCAATGTTTCATGTAGTGATGTCCGGGATTTTCTTTTACTAACGTGTCCTCAATATGTTACCGTTTACTGACAATATAACTTGCCTCACAAGATCCGCCTTAGAAAATCCTGAGCGATATATCTATTGCCATGATGTTACGCATGCGTATGGCAGCAGGCCGTTATCAGGGATCAACTTGAGTGGCACTTGTGCGTCACCTCTCCCGGTGTTCAGGCCGAGCTCCTCACCCAACTCATCCCTCCCTCCACAGCCGGTGGGGATCTGCACTATCACCGCACATCTCCCCAGTCTACGTCACAGCCTTGACGATGATTCCAGCCATCAATGCTAATCGCTCGGCCATCTGGGAGAAGCACGTGCATAGTCTCTTCGGCTTGAGAGACACGGATTTTACTCAAGAGGGTCAAGATGTGAGCCTGGATGACACCCCGTTCATCCTTCAGGGTCCAAGCCATAAAGGCAAGCCGGACGACGGCTGGAAACAGGCTGCTCACACCCCTCTGCCCTACTGGAACAAAGGACAGCCTATAGGCCAGCAAGCCACGACAGATAAGACGTATGTGTTGACTCCAAGGGCCGGCGCCAATGGGAGATGGCTGATGAAGAAATGGCCACACGCGGGAACCGCGGGTGTGGGAACAAGTGAAGGTGATGATGCGCACCATAGTAATGAAGGGCGCGCGGGCAACATGAATCATTACTTAGGTTCAGGCAAGGAAACAAGTCAAAATGCAGCTGGTAAACTTGGAATTAGTTTTGCCGTTGATACCTCAGGAAGCAGCGAGTCTCAGTGGTGGTTCAAGACCTCGAATACAACGGGACCACTGCTTCTGGACGCCAGAAATAACGCCACTGACTTAACCAATGACACAGCGTGGAACTGGAGCGGCTACGACCCACCTTTTACCTTAAACGCGTCACTAACGTGTAGGAACGTTTCCTTGGAAGGTTCAGAGTGCGGCGTGGAAGCCGCGGCGCCGCTTATCGTCACCCCGGAGAGTCTGGCGCTGTGTCTTCTGCTTCTCTTCTTCGCTGTCTCGACCATTTTCGGGAACGGATTAGTGATAGTGGCCGTGGCCCGGGAACGATACTTACACACAGTTACCAACTATTTCATCATGTCATTAGCAGTAGCTGACTGCCTAGTTGGAGCACTTGTCATGCCTTTCAGTGCGCTTTATGACTCGTTCGACTATTGGCCATTTGGACCTGATTTTTGTGACGTGTGGCGAAGCTTCGACGTGCTGGCCTCGACGGCGTCGATACTGAACCTTTGCGTGATATCACTTGACCGATACTGGGCCATCACGGACCCTTTCAGCTACCCAGGCCGGATGTCACCCCGCCGGGCCTGCATGCTCATCGCTCTGGTGTGGGTCTGCTCGGCCTTAATCTCCTTTCCAGCTATTGCCTGGTGGCGGGCAGTGTCGGAACCGCACCCCGCCGGCGCCTGTCCCTTCACGGGGGATCTCTCCTACCTCGTCTTCTCCTCTACCATAAGTTTCTATGGCCCGTTATTTGTTATGGTTTTCACCTATTTCCGCATCTACCGCGCGGCCACGGAACAAACTCGCTCTCTCAAGCTGGGCCAGAAGCTTGTGTCGTGTATGGGCGACGGGGAAATGGAACTGACTCTCCGGATACATCGTGGTGGTATTGGGGCCAGTGGCAGCACCAGTAGCAACGGCACCAGCGTGCATAGAGCCCAGTACCCGGGGGGCAAGACCTTCACTTGTTCGCAAGAAAATGGCGGCTTGCCACTCGAGGAAGGCGAATCGTGTCCCTTGGGAGCCTTACACGAAGGCACTTCCCCAGACAGTTCCACTAAAGTGGTCTCTCGTAACCTGAAAAATTTCTCTATATCTCGCAAGTTATGCAAGTTTGCCAAAGAGAAGAAGGCAGCTAAGACTCTGGGCATAGTGATGGGGGTGTTTATCGTGTGTTGGCTGCCCTTCTTCGTCACCAACCTCCTGTCGGGGTTGTGTGGCGAGCGCTGCATCCGGCAGCCGGCGCTGGTGGACGACGTCGTCACCTGGCTCGGATGGATCAACTCCGCTATGAACCCCGTCATCTACGCCTGTTGGGCCAAGGACTTCAGAAGGTAAGTAGACGTCATGTATGTTTTTTTTTTAGCTATATATAACCTTATTTGCGTTATATATATATATATATATATATATATATATATATATATATATATATATATATATATATATATATATATATATATATATATATATATATATAGCAATAATACAAACATAAGATGCATTGGTGAGATGACGTATAACCATGAACGAAAATTAAACATTAAACACGAGGATTTTGTGTCTATTTGACCACACGGAAATACATACAGAGTTGTATGTATTTCCGAGAGGTATGTATTTATTTAAGTCTTGTATGTATTATGTAGAAGAGCATATATGTAGGCTTGAATAAGCACTGAGATGAGAGGTGAAGGAACAAACTCTAAGAAATTATGTAGGATCAGGTTGGGTTATATTACTCAGCTTCCCAGTGGGAATAGTTGCAAAATCTTCTTAAAAATAAATGACAAAAAAATACATAAAAAAGTAACGTGTATTAATGATAATCGACATAAATGTTTCAAAAATATCTTTGGAGTAGGGCTGTGGACTCGAACTCGCGTCCCAGGTCACCTCAGACGTGTACACTACCCACTTTACCACGATGTGCTAAAAAGCTGCAGGAGTGCAAACAAGGAATCTGAAGCACCCAACCAATACGCAACCCAATGCTTACATGTATAAGCAGTATTAAAACCTAATTCGATAATATTAGAAGAACGCTTCCAATCAATTTAATGAGAATTTTCAAATGAATGAAAAAACACTTGACCACTATTAGAAGTGATATAGTAGCAGGCGTCCATCAGTCTCAGGAGACTATGGAGTTGCCTTTGTTTGTCGGTCTGGAGTGGCCTCTCCAGGGCGCAAAGCCAGGGTAGGTTGATACGGAGGAAAAGCTGTTACCATGCAGCAGGTTCCCCCCCTTTCCACGGCGCCTAAAGTCTCCAAGGGAAAGACAAACGCCAATACGTAAAGTGATATAGCGTCTAACATAACGTCTGGCATAGCGTCTAACAGGGCGTAGCAACCATTGCATGTGATATACCCTCCGACATATTCTCCCAACCCATTCTCTCTCTCTCTCTCTCTCTCTCTCTCTCTCTCTCTCTCTCTCTCTCCTCTCTCTCTCTCTCTCTCTCTCTCTCTCTCTCTCTCTGCCACTGTACAAAACATACAACTGTTTTCTATCACTAGAATCGCATGAACCGAAACAGCCCATCGAGCCTATTGAGGCCTATGCTGAGAAACGGCATTATTACAATGCTTTAATATACTCTAAAACATACTTTTTTGAGCGGTTTGATCGATTCCGTAAAAAGTAGGGCGTGTTAAGTGGACAGGTTGCCAGCAGCGACCACCTTCATAATAACTCATACCATAACCCTGAGCCATTTCGCCCGGGCACTATGGCAAGGTGTTTCATAGTGGGCGATTAAACCACGCCACATTAGTCTTTGTGGCCGATCAAAGGGGGAAACCTGGTTCATATGAGACAGGCTTATAGGGAGGGAGGTCACTGGCAGTATCCGGTACCGGGGGCGGGGGGGGGGGTACACAGCGCCGGGGTACACCAAACAAGGGCGCAGAGTACCCGTATGGGGTACAGAGAGAGAGCGGGGTACGAGGTACATGGTATCATAAAGTATTACTAAACGAAGCTCTTACCCTCAGCTCTTCCATCAGCCGAGATCTGCTACTTTGTTGCGCAATGATATCTTCTTGCTTCAGCCACTGATGAAGTGAGACGTGAGGGTGTGGGGTAAAGAGCATGGTGAGGAGAGGAGAGCATGGTGAGGGAGCGTGGAGCATGGTGGAGAGCGGTTAGCATAATTTGTGGAGTATACCCACCTACTTCACCAGGCTACTTCTACCCTGGTGGAGAGGGTAGCGTATGGACCAGCATTAGGGAGCATGGAGCATAGAGGTGAGAGGTGAGCATGGAACAGGGAGCATAGTGTACGATACCAATACCCCTATTTCAACGAGGAACTTCCCCTGGTGCACAAATATCTATTTATTGTGAACAGAACCATTTTTTAAATCAGGTGTTATAACAAAAAAATTTATTTTCAAAATACAAACTCAACACCCAATCACTGAAAATAAGATTTAGTTGTGAAATCTATTTCTGCGACAAAGTCCATTAATCTAGCAATCTTTGTATTTGATTCAGTCTATTAGTCTGTGATTCTGATATTCCTCCAGTCACTAAATGGGGTTCCTAGTTTTAATCAAAACTAAATTATTGGTTTGACATAGCATATGTACTGCTGATCACGTTTTACTAGTTACTGGATAAAATATTAAAAAAGTAGTTAAGAATAGAGCTGGTTTGTGTATTTATGCATTTCTTGTTGTATTTTAAGTTAAACTTACTGCTGTTATGTATCTTTTAAGTATTATTGAAACTTGTGTTGTGATTGTTAAGTTGACCGCTATATCACACTAGACCTACAGAAGAAAATTTGCAGATATATCATATTAAAGAACGATTCTGATGGAAGCAGAATTTCAGTGCGGGTCTCTAATAAATTGATACTTGTGTATAGAGAAAGACACAAGGGTAACAGAGATACGGATCTACAGGAACGGTTGCCAAGTAGATCTGTTGCTTGGTAGTGGCTGCCTGCAAGCAGCCACTACCAAGCTTGCAGGCTTGGTAGTGGCTGCTTGCACTACCACTACAATGCTTGCAGGCCCTCACTGCCTGCAAGCATTGGGCTACGAGATTCCATGTTAGTGAGGATGAAGTGTTCAATTCACTTAAATTGAATCTCTCAATTTAAGTGAGAGATTCTTCTGTCATGATTAGGTACCTCAGTTCTTCCAGGCCTTTTCCTCTAAGTTGCTTACTGTTAATCTACTTCCAGGTAGCTTACTGATAATCTACCTCCTGGAAACTTACTGAAATCTACTTCCAGGAAACTTATTGATAATCTTCCTCCGTGTAGATTTCTGATAATCTACCTCTAGGTAGTTTACTGATATTCCTTCGGGTAGTACCCAGCACTCAGCCACCAGGTAGTGTCCAGTACATAGCCTTTAGGTTCTGTCCAGTACTCAGCCTTAAGGTAGTGTCCAGTACTCAACCTTCAGGTAGTGTTCAGTACTCAGCCTTCAGGTTGTGTCCAGTACTCAGCCATAAGGTAGCGTCCAGTACTCAGCCACCAGGTCGTCTAATGGTACTCCTCGTCCATATTAACTCTGAAGGAGCCTGTGGGATGCGAGTTGGCAGAGTGAATCCCTTTAAAATTAGTTCAAAAGAAAACTTAAAACATCTCCTACCTGTTCACATCAACTTTGACTAAGGACCCTGTAAATGACTTCACAAGTTTATATAAAACCCCAATTTAAAGTTTTATTAATAATTATTTACATACCTAATAAAGGGATCAGTCGAGTGATAGTGGTGGTGGTGGATATATCTAGTGAGAGTGGTAGTGGTGGTGGTGGATATATCTAGTGAGAGTGATGGTGGTGGATATATCTAGTGACAGTGATAGTGGTGGATATCTAGTGAGAGTGATAGTGGTGGATATATCTAGTGACAGTGATGGTGGTGGATATATCTAGTGAGAGTGATGGTGGTAGACACCTCTAATGATGGTGATTGTTGGTGGACACACAATAGATAGTCAAGATCAATCCTGAATGATTCTGGCAGTGTCCGTATAGTCTATCGGCGTTCCACTGATTCTCTTGTGAAATCGTATCGAGATTTCGAAAACCACTCGAGGGAATATTGTCCACAGCTTCACATGTAGATTGAGTTGGAGACTCTGAGGTCACCTCTTGCAAACTTTGACCTGTTGCATACGCAGCTTCACAGTGCAGTTTGAATCTTGATTTGGGCAACTTCAGAGTAAAATCACATCTGTCTTACACATGTGTTTTTTTCACATACTTGGATCAGTGTTTTTGTGATCGTTGTTGCTCGTATATATATATATTTGAACGCAATACAAAATATTAATATTACTCATACCAACGTCGTTGAACTCTGGGCCACATTAGGTCTCACACATACACATATGACGTAAAGGTCTCTCGCAAAAATTCCGAGGAATGATAGACAAAGAAGCCCTTGAGTATTCCGTGAGGCTGGTGGAGTGACGGGAAGATTTGACCTCCATTATAGCCAAGATCAGTCGGGTTAGAGAAGTCTTGACGGGGGGAATATCCCCGCTCTGAAAGAATATTCCTTTCACAATAATATTTGGGGAATAAAAATGAGGCACTTTTTTATAATTAGGAATATATTGCCCTGAGGACTGAGTATTTCAGTGCATGAAGTCCATCTGATATACTTTTTTCTCGATTAAAAATAGCGGAATATTTCAGTTTGAAAAATAACATTCAAGAGTTAACATGTTATTTGAAGGAATAAATTAATATTTTAATCACGATGATATATACTGTGTTGAAACATCATGCCTCTGCTCGCGAGGTATTACATAGAGAGGGAGAATATTACCATACAGAGATATACTGCCTTCTGAAGCTGAATTAGAGCAATATATCTACGTTAGGTTATCATTCCACATTGAGCCCACACTTCCTTGCAAATTCAAAAACAAATGTACTAATTATTTATTTGCAAATGAAATTAATTCTCTCAGTGAATAAATATATGATATAAGACTGGTTAATATAACAACCAAATTATAGGAGCAGTCTTCCACATTATAAAAAAATAATCGTGAGGGGATGGAATATTTTCATGTAATGAGCACAATTTTTATATGTTCTTATTTTATATGTATGTTCATACATATAAAATATGTATGAACATACATATTTATATGTATGTTCTTATTATACCATACCTGTAATAAGGATAAATTTAAAATCCTGGTGATAGTGAGTGACCTAATAATAATCTTGAGTCACGTAGAAATTTATTAAAGTTTCTTTCAAAGATTTTCCAAGAACTCGTGGAGAAATCTGGGGCCAGATTCACGAAGCAATTACGAAAGTACTTACGAACGTGTACATCTTTCCTCAAACT